CACTTACAATTTATTTTATCATAACTGAACACAGTTTAGTTCTTCCCATTGAAATTTCACCTGTTAGTGCATTGCTACGCCGATTTGTCAATTAAATCACTATTTTATCATTTAGAAGTTGTCTAAAAAAACAGAAACAGAATGACAAGACCTTACTTTTTGTGATCCAGTGTTTAAAGATGGATTCACTGTTAAGGTAATTTTTGGCAGTTGAAAACACCGCTGCTTGTGTTTCTGTAAGGCTCAGTGTGGACATGGCCTAAGCCAACCTGCCAGTTTGAAGAACAGCACCTCCAAACAATGGTTGTTTACCTGCCAGACGGCGAGCAGAGAAGGCAGGCTTTGCAGGGCTGCAGCCCAGTCTGAGCTGCATTTGGCTGGTGTGTTATTTCCCACAGTGATTTTAATGTGTGTGTATGTGTGTGCTGGAGGTCTGTTTGTCTGGTCTGAGCTCAGGGCTGTTGGCTGGCAGGCAGGGGGAAGTTTCTCTGTGGCACTATGAGCATACAGAGGATGACCTAACACTCTGTTTCCTTCCTCTCCGACCCCTGAATTGTTTAATGCACCTCCATGTGTGTGCTCTTATAATTCAGTCCTAACGGCCCTCTTAGAGTACTTGCCCCAAGCAGCTTGTTGGGCTTTTTAAGATTGAAACTATGAGTCCACATGCAGTTCAGGACTGTTTTGAAACTGGAGTGTTGAAACAAATTTTTTACATAAACGTCGAATGTGGAGCAACAGGATTGTTCTAGGGTTATTGTTGGTGGAGACTTGTTTCTGTTGTTATAAATGGTATTTGTCTGCGGGTGCATTCACAAAGTGATGCGTCTGTTTCAGCAAAATAAGCCTTTGTGAAGATGTAAGGTTTCAAACTACAGTATGTAAATGGGAAGTTTGTCCTGAGGCGGGGTCAGTGGAGGAAGGACCAGGAGGGTCATGAGAGACCTCTTGAAGTTGCATCTTTACGCCTTTAATGTGATGTACAGGTACTTCCTGCTGGAACAGGACGCTGGGCGGGACATAACACAGTGAGGGATCAATTTTAACTGCAAACCAAAGGGAAATCCGTTAAAGTGACAGGTCAAAGGGGAACAAGAGACTTTGTATGTTTCTCAAGTGTCTTGCTTGAGGACACTTCAGCATGTCTCCAACCACCAACCTACCAATATGGCAAGTTGAATAGGTATTCTGGCAACCTGCTGCCTAGTTCGAGGTTTATTCATGGGGCGGTGATATGATGAGAGTGATACCCTGAGATAAACCACTAGCCTAACCTTTATTATTATTATTATGTTAGAGTTGATTTTGGATAAATTGTTTTAAATATTATTCAGTGTTTGTAAATAAATTGATGTAGTTAATTATAGCTTGTATTGCAACACCCAGGTTGCACTGCCCTTGTGAGGACCGCCGTTACCACCCACCTGTTCACTGATTCGCTGTATCCTTCCTAGCAAATGCAAGAGCGGAAAGGGAAGAGAGGTGTTGGAGTTTTGGTGGAGAGGACGGTGAATGGAGGACGATTGCGGCAGAGCAAAACACTTTTTTCACTGCTTGCTCGCTCACTTCACTGTCCTCTCCGCCACAACACCAACAACGATTCTTCCCTTTCCGCTCTTGCCTTTACTAGGGAGGATACAGCGGTGGCACGAAGCGAATCAGTAAACAGGTGGGTGGTATCGGCGGTGCAACGTGAGTGTTGCAGGTTGTCACAAGGTGTTGGCTTTATCTGTCTGCAATGTTCTCAGTTGCTCAGTTTAACCTGAGATCTTAAGGACCCAAACGCTCAAACGCTGTATCTCTAAAATGTATGCCAGACTTCTCTCTTCTTTTGGTAGTGACAAACAAATAAGTCAATTATTCTATAAGTTGGTCTACAGAAAATAAACAGTTTGTTTTCATTGCTCCTTCAGTTCCCCCACCTATATTTATCCTGCCTGTCTGGGGATTGTACCACCAACTTTCAGGGTTCAAGTACACTTTTGTAACCTTTAGGCCACCTCTGCATCTAGTCAACTGTCAGATATAATTAATAATCATTTGGATAATTGATTAATGGTGCAAGTAATTTATCAGACAAAAGGTTTTAGCTTTTCAAATGCTTGTCTCTTTTAAATCATGTGAAGTAAATATCTTTGAGTTTAAAAAAAAGTCTTCTTGGGCTCTGGGAATTTTTAAACAATTCTTTTGACATTGTATGGACATAATTGTTAATCAAATAACCTTTGATAGATGTAGATGCTGGTCCTGGCAGCCCTTATTTGTAAGTTAACTTGCAGCTCAAACTATTTAGTTTTCATAATGCTGCTGACTTTCTCTTTCTCTGTAGCTCACCAGTTTTTAAGTGGCACTGATTTCATCCCATTTCTGTCGTTGTTTTTCTGAAGCTGAGCGAGTCATCAGATGTGTGAGAACAGTTGCGTCAGAGTTTGATTGGCTGGATAGATGCTGAGGCAGTTCAGTTCACTCGTCGATCACTAATACAGACACACTTTGGTTCCAGCGCCTTGTTCTTCGTTAGCTCTGGTGCTAAAGTGACTCTGTAAGATGTCAACATCTCACCACGGCATATTCATGTATTCCAACATTTGTTGTAATTGTGTCACACACTGATGAGTCAGAACAGCAGGAAACCAGCACTTCATGGCAGCTGAATAAGAATAAACACTGTGTTCATACAGTATTTTTCATCAAAAGATTTCTTCTTCAGCTAGATGTGGTACCGCTGTTTAAATGAATTTGTTGGCTGACGTCTGGGGTAAAGCTAAAATTAGAGAAACTGAAAGGCTGGTGATAATACCTATTTAGTATAAAATGTGTAATGCTCTGCAGTTCTTGACTGATTTTATTTTACAATATGCAACAGAAAACCAAATTTAACCAGTTCAAAGTGAAGGGTCGTCCACTACAGCAGGTGTGTTTTGATAATGTTTTTTCAGTCCTGGCCGAGACTCAGACAACTGTGAGCTCTGAAGTTTACATGGCTTTCTGCTAAACACCTGTGAAACTAGAACTGTTAAAGCCTGTTTCATGTCATTTAGGTTGTGTTTGACCCTGATCACTTCTAAAAATGCATTGTGGGATTCAGTTAAAATTCTAAAGCTCTTTCAAAAATTCCCCAGCAAGGACTGTTTTGTTGATTTGCAGTTTAGACGATGTCATGATGATTTTTTTTTTTTCTTTTTTTTTTACATGTCTGGACTTACTTGAACTAAATCTCTTCTTCTTACTGGTTCTGTTACAATAATATTATTGCTAAAACAGCAGGGGGACACTTTAACTCACCAGAATAAAAGATTTGAAACTTGCAAAAATCTGCCAAAATAATCCGCCTGCAATAGATTCATTGGATCTGATATTTGTTGATTTAAATTTTTTATTAATGGTGGACTTGAAATAATTGCCAATCATGGCCAAAACAGAGCATATCACAAGAGAGGCTGAAAGAAAACTTTATGTGTTGTATCGGCATATTTCTGATCTATGTGAAAAACACATTTGACCTCCAGTGGTTTAACTTTTCACCTGACTGTGGTGAGGTACAGGTGTTCTCCAGGACCTCATAACATCACTGCTGCTTGTGGTTGCAGGTGCAACAGAGCACATTTATGACCTCACCCAACCACAGCACAAGCTGTCAGTAATGCTGGGTTTGGATGTTCTAAAACAAAAGGGAACGCATTACAAGCTGCACCAATAGTATGAAATGTTTCCCATTAGGGAATGGTCTCCTAAGTGAGCGGTGTGTGTGGTTGCCACTTCGTTTGGAAGTGTTGGAAGAATATTGGCTTGTGCGGGCATGATATCAGCAGATAACAATCTTTATCGTAATTAAGAACTCAATTATAATTAAAGATGTGTTGCCAGATCAGAGCCATGTCTCAAACAAATGGGTTAAATATTTACTTTGGTGACAATGAAGCAATAGAATCTATGGTTTCAACCAGAGAGGGTGGCAAAATGCTGCTTTTCAGCCTGGTGTTATTACTCTTTAAGTTTACTGCTCCTAGCAACCTCTACCACAGCATCCGTGGATTGAAAATTACGTCAAACACATCAGTCAGTGCTATCCAACGAAGGTTAAAATGAAGGGCAACTGGACTTGGTTGAAGATACTGGAAGACGTTTCGTCCCTCATCCAAAGGACTTCTTCAGTTCTGACTGACTGGCAGGGAAACTCAGCTATTTAACCTCAGTGGGGTCGTTGGCCCGGGTCATCGATACCGCTGGTTCGTTAGTGTTCCTTGTTGCTGTGACGACAGTCGTTACAGTCGTTGAGACTACCTGTGGCCAAGACTGAACGACCATCGTTGGTATCTTCACCTGAGGCCATTAGGTTACGTTTGTTGAGTTTCCTGGGAAGTGATGAAAGGACAGCATTGTAAGTGGGGGATAAGTGGTGGCGTAGACCCCCTGTTCAATGACGGCTTCTCAACCCTGGTGTAGATGGTTTCCTTGACACCTCTTTCAAACCATCCATCTTCTCTGTCTAAAATGTGCACCTGGTGGTCCTCAAACGAGTGTCCTCTGTCCTTCAGATGTAAGTAGACTGCAGAGTCTTGACCTGAGGAGTTGGCCCTTCTGTGTTGAGCCATGCGTTTGTGTAGTGGTTGTTTAGTCTCCCCAATATACAGGTCTGTGCATTCCTCACTGCATTGGACCGCATACACTAGATTGCTTTTCTTGTGTTTGGGGGTGCGGTCTTTGGGGTGTACCAGCATCTGTCTTAGTGTGTTGGGGAGACTAAACAGTCAGTGCTGATCAGTTAGGGCAAAACTCCACCCTACCAAACAGGAAATGGCTAACATAAACATGTCAGACTGAAAAAATGTAATAAAATCAAATGACAGTCTCAATATCAGGCTAATACCAGCCTTACATAGACACTTTCCTCTACATTGATTATAAAATTAAAGTGATTCCAATGCCTAAAGTCCAGACTCTGCTGCTTCCAGCTCTGTCCAACATGTTATAGGAGTAGGATGTAACCTGTTGGTGCCACTTTTTTCCCCTCCCTGCAGGTGAGTATATCAAGAACTGGCGACCACGCTACTTTCTGCTGAAGACAGACGGCTCTTTCATCGGCTACAAGGACAAACCACAGGACTCTGACCTGGCCTACCCGCTCAACAACTTCTCTGTAGCAAGTAAGACACGGGCAACAAGGCTGTCATCACATATTTCACACACTAGAAACAAACATCAGTGTAACACCACACATCCGTCTCTGTGTGACTTCCAGAATGTCAGCTGATGAAGACAGAGCGGCCCAAGCCGAACACCTTCATCATCCGCTGTCTGCAGTGGACCACTGTCATCGAGAGGACTTTTCACGTAGACACTCCTGATGAGAGGTGAGCCTTCAGCCCTCCTCCTTTTTTCCTTCCATGTGAGGCTTTTTCTGTATTTATTTGACAGAACAGTGAGAAATAAGGTCACCAGCTCATAACCAATATCTAAACATATCTACAGGAAAATAATCACCCCACTGTCACTATTTTTTAGGTGTATTATTTTCATTTTTGTGATGTATTTATTCTAAATAAATTCAAAAGAGAAGAGAATAAAATAAAATAGAAAATAGAAAATAAAATATTAAAACCACAAATAGTAACTCAATTTCAATAGTCAAATTTCCAATGGAAAAAAAATTATATTGTGTCTGCAAATTTGGGTTTTAAGACACTGACACTGGCTGCTTGTGTACCTAAAAAAAACAAACAAACAAACAAAAAAAACATACGATATGGGAGAGGACTCCCTATCAAAAGATATCAGATGTTAAAGGTCCGGCGTTGGGATTAGGGACAAATAATCTGCAGTTCTCCGCCCTGAACAAGACTGGAAGGTTTTTGTGTTAAATTCTCCTCACACAACAGGAGACTGTCAACTCAGTGAGAAGAAAGACAGGAAGCAGGGGTGTGGGGCTGAGGCTGATCGCCAGGTTTTGAAGGGTTTCGTTCCAAAACACAATATAATGACTTTTTACCTGATGCTTAATGGCTTGTTGTGAACAAGACTCTGCTAACTAGAGTGAGCAGCAGTCATTTTGTCAGAGTAGGTCTGTAGGTTGTTAGGAGGATGGATGTCTTTTGGGTGGATTGGACCATTCATTGGCTCTTGGGTCTCATTGGCCACCAGTTTATTTTATTCAAAAAAAAAAAGTAAGATAACAAACAAATTAAAAGTCAGTATTATAGAAGCTATGTTTGCAAAAGTAGGTAGATTTCTATTTTGCTTTCATTCACTGTCCATTTGGTAGCAGACGGGGCGGACTTTACCACAGTGGACTAGGCACTCCACTAGATTAAGAAATATCAGAATTTGTTTATTATGTGTTTTCTGTGATTGACAGCCTAACTAGCTGCACTTTAAATGTTAACGTAGTAAATTCTGCCTGTTAAATGCACCAGGCAGGTTAAAACAAACAGAGACCTTCTTCTGATGACAGGGTAGTCTCACTAAAGCTGGATTTATCCTTGACAGAAAGGGTTTACGGCAGTCCCATTTCAGACGCCTACAGGAATTTATTGATTCCTAGATGGGCGTCAGATCTCACCTGTTGATAGCACCACCTCCACACTAGATGGATGTACAGTATTGCATGGGATCAGGTGTAGTGTTTTCTGTTTAAATATTGTGTTGAAGATTGTGTTTTTGAACATGTTGACACACATCCATATGTGAGAGTCTATAGTTTCAACTAGCAGTCTCTTAGTTAGGGAAAAAAAAGTTATTTTCGCTTCTCCAAAGATTTATGGTGAGTCTAATGGTGAAGCCACAATTAACCAAGTGCTGTCTGCTGGTATTTTAACCTGTTGTTGTGTCCTGCAGGGACGAATGGGCAGAGGCCATCCAGATGGTAGCTGAGTCTCTGGCCAAACAGGAGGAGGAGGGCATCCTGTGCAGCCCCACCTCCCAGATCGAGAACGTCAACGAGGAGGAGATGGACACCTCCATCAGCCACTACAAACGAAAGGTGACAGTTAGTCTGAGTGCAGTCAACATATCGTTCCTGTTTGTGAAGCTGTCTCACTTTGAGACGAGGATGTGAGTGCAATGGATGGTGGAGAACCAGTTTCTTCATGCCTCTGTTTCTTTGTCCAGACAATGAATGACTTTGACTATCTGAAGCTTCTGGGCAAAGGCACTTTTGGGAAAGTCATTCTGGTGAGGGAGAAGGCGAGTGGTACCTACTACGCCATGAAGATCCTAAAGAAGGAAGTCATCATAGCCAAGGTCCTTTTTAATGTTTCTGTCAGCTTCTACTGGTTTTTGCTGTTTTACACTTTTCAGCTCAGCTTTGTAAAGATTTCTCCATCACTAGATTTATATGTCATATAATCATTTTTTTTTACAAAGATTTACCCTGAGTCTATACCTTAAAATAGCATAATTTTTGTAATACCTTCAGTGTCAGATATTTGGCATGTAACAATTTGTGAAGGATGATCATATTCATTCATAAAAATAATTTACAGATTGGTTTTATACTAGCATTAGCCCGATGTTCACACACCTCCCTGTCGATTACACCCTCAGCCTTTTGACTAAAACAAGAAACCTTCTGCAGGCGAACTCCTTTTGTCTCCTGATTAATCACTCTGCCTCTCCTTCTTTTTTCTTTTTTTATCACAGGATGAAGTTGCTCACACACTCACAGAAAGTAGGGTATTAAAAAACACTCGGCATCCATTCCTAACTGTGAGTATCAGGATGTAGATTGCACGAAACATTACATGAAGACACACCTGTGCTACTTTTCACTTTTTAAAAAGAGAAGCGGTGGCCGCCAACTTCAAAGCCCATTATGATAAGTGTCGTGCAAAGAAGGAAGGATGCACTGAATTCAGACCACAAAGCGTCTGTTCTTAAAAAAATAATGTGTTTGAAGCAAAACGGCTGAGCTCTGCTTGGTTTAAAAAAAATATGTATATATTGTGTTGCAGTCTCTGAAGTACTCGTTCCAGACGAAAGATCGGCTGTGCTTTGTAATGGAGTACGTCAACGGAGGAGAGGTGAGAGAGCAGTGAAGAAGAAATGTTTTTGATGCTGGCGGATGTTCTGTCTTATTTCAACGTGGAAGTTATTTCAAGAATTATTGAAGAATGTTGATTAACAACACAGTGTGAATCAAAGAGCTTTAACAGAAAGCCGTCACTCCTCTCATTAAGTCACATTTGGAGAGTTGTAGGCCTGGGGTGTCCGCTCTGTCGTGGCGTTTTGGTGTCAGTTTATTAATTTCAAGGCAGAGGGACTTGCAATATGTCTTCCGAAGTGTGACTTCAGAGTCCTTCTGTGTCTCTCTAAGGGTTAGGTTAAAAGGAAATTGTATTTAAAATGCATGCCTGATACATAACCTTGTTCTTTTCTTGTTCTTGATCTGTTTGGTGTGAAGAAACTGGCCAGCCGGCCCGGACTGGGACAATAATTCAGGGACTCTTAACGCCAGGCCAAAATCTCTGCATGTTCACAACAAACAACATATACTGTAGTCGTCGTTTTGTTGAAATATTGTTTATGTTTACTGTTTATGCCAGTAACACATGCTTTAGTTGTAGTACTACACACAAGAAGTTCTTCAAAAAACATCCAAAATTGTTAAAAACAGTTGTCCGTTTGTGTGTTTTTGCACCTGGCATTTCTTCATCATAAAAGTCTTATAGTTCTGAGTAATTGGAGATACTTCCACCTGACAAAAGAGTACACAGTTCTTTGTTTTCAGTATTCTTTCATTTTGCATTTTTAACTCTGGCCGGACGCTGTCGGCCGATCATCTAGCCAGAGTAGTATTCATAATAATCGCGACATATTGAATACATTTTGGACATTTTTAAAAAAGATTTCAGATATAATTTGTCTATTTAGAGATACAGTTTGCTACTCTTTCCCATACTGAAATTGAGAGAAGTGGTTATGTACTGTATGTATGAAATATTTCCACACATACACAGACCCAAGCTTTCCTTTACGAGTATGATTTGCTTTAAGCCTTGGTCAAGTTGAAACTGTCATTCCACTGTTGTTTTGAGTGTAACTGCGTGTAAAATGATCTCATCTGCTTCAGCTCAGCCCCTCCTGGATGAATCATCTTAATACAACAAAAATGTCTGAGGTGTATGAACTTTGGTTTTTTCTGTTTGTTTTTTTGGTAGCTGTTTTTCCATTTGTCAAGAGAAAGAGTCTTTTCGGAGGACCGCACCCGTTTCTATGGCGCTGAGATCGTCTCTGCTCTAGACTACCTACATTCTGCCAAGATTGTCTATCGGGATCTGAAGGTAAACTACACCTGCTCTGAGTGAAGTCTTAAGAAAAACCCAACATCAGACACCTGCGCTGAGTTTACAATTATTAGTTTAACATGTAGAAACATACAGAAACGTCCAGATTGGCATTAAGGTTGGAATAACAATGGGTCATGTTTTTTATTTCCCTTGTCTTTCTCATCAGCTGGAGAACCTCATGTTGGACAAAGACGGCCACATCAAGATCACAGACTTTGGCCTCTGCAAAGAAGGCATCACCGACACTGCCACCATGAAGACCTTCTGTGGAACACCAGAGTACCTCGCTCCTGAGGTCAGAGGTCACACTAAACTGAGAATTATAACAAATTGGATGGAACCATGCAGTGCCGATAAAAGTTAACAACCGGAAAAATTAGAAAGTGGTGCTTGGTTTGGGGCGGCTGTGGCTCAGGAGGTAGAGTGGGTTGGCCGTTAATTGGAAGGTTGGCGGTTCGATCCCTGGCTCCCCCTGGTTGCGTGTCGAAGTGTCCTTGGGCAAGACACTGAACCCCGATTTGCCCCTGGCGGCTGTTCCGCGAGTGTATGAATGTGTGTGAATGCTAGTTTTCGTTTGAGCACTTAGGCTCAGTGTATGAATGTGTGTGACTGGTGAATGCAGATGTAGTGTAAAAGCACTTTGAGTGGTTGAAAAGACTAGAAAGGTGCTATACAAGTACGGAGCATTTACATTTACATCTTGGTTGAAGACTGTTTTTGTCCTGTATGATGAAATCAGGAGAGAAGCTTTTTGTCTGATTGTCACCAAACTTCAACCATCGGTCAGAGCCAATGTGGAAGTAGCTTAAAGATGTAGTTCCTCTAATGGCTGACAAATGCTTTCTATACAACAAAGCAGAATGTCACTACCTAATTTCACTTCTTCTAACATGGCTCTAGGTGGAGATTTTGAAAGTTATTTTTCCATTAAAAGGATATGAAAGAGGATATCAGATATGTCAGGGTCTGAAATAGTTACATCAGAAAGCAAAGATCCACAGGTTGGTCTTGAAATTTTAATTTTATTTAACAATGGCTACAATGGACTTTTTGGGTTTTAATATACGCTGTCATTCAATGAAAGTTTAATCTAGTTTCAATGAACAGCTAGACCTCGCAGAAAATATTGGGTAATATTAGGTTAACAATATTTGCCCCTGTTTTTAAGCTTCCTAAGAGGAAATTTAAAGGAAATGATATGTTATCAGGTGCTGGAGGACAACGACTACGGGCGGGCGGTGGACTGGTGGGGTTTGGGTGTGGTGACGTATGAGATGATGTGCGGCCGCCTGCCGTTCTACAACCAGGACCATGAGAAGCTGTTCGAGCTCATCCTCATGGAGGAGATCAAGTTCCCACGAACCCTGTCGGCCGACGCCAAGTCGCTGCTGTCAGGGCTGCTCATCAAGGACCCCAACAAACGGTACACTCACACTCATACACAAACACAATTAATGAACGGGCAGGTGTGGGACTGTGCAGAGAACAGCTGCTGTTTTAAATGGATGCAGAAATGCAGTACTTTCACTTCTGCAGTTTAAAATTCTCCTGTCCTGTGGAGACGGTTAGCAGCCGCTTCTTTTCACCTGCCACAGATGAGCTCCATTGAGAGGATGTAACGCATGGGAGGTTGATGTGCGAGAGTCAAGGACACGATCCCTCACTGGCTTCCCACCCACAAACTTGGCCAGAACTGAGGTTCATTCAGTGGATTTATGACATTGACAGAAGGCCTAAATTGTGCAGGCAAAGTTTTTGCCCACTAGTACAACATAATGCTGAGCTGATGCTGATTCCCCGCGTGGGACATACTGTATAGTCCATCCATCTTTACCAGATTAAATATATTAACAGATATGATCAATGATATAATGAATAAGTTTACATTACATTTATTTAGCTGATGCATTTATACAATGCAATAATAAGTTAGGCAGCAATAAGTTAGGCAGTTATACGTTAAGCAGCCTTGTGCTGTATAATGATTAACAAACAACCTTGTATCTTGTATCTGATATCTTGTATAAGTTCATTCAAACATGTGTTCTGTTGGACAAAAGTGACCGGTGGCTGCTGTTAATTTCCCACTTTGCTTATCCCCGAGGCGTTTTCTGTCTCTAATGAAGAAACTGGTGAAAAGAGGCTACTGCAGCTTCAGAGAGCAAACTCGTTCACCCAGGCGAGTTATTTTGAGATCAGTAGCAGGTGGATATTCTGGTTCCAGAAGACTAGATAAGATAGGATAAGAGCAACGTTTGATGTCTGACTTCAACGTCGTCTTCTTCTTCTCTTCTCTTTTCTGACAGGCTGGGCGGCGGACCAGATGACGCTAAGGAGATCATGCGACACAGTTTCTTTGGCACAATCGACTGGCAGGACGTCTACGACAAGAAGGTGAGAGCGGGATTTAGCTGCTAGACGTCATCCGATCTTCAATGGTTATTTATTGAAACAGCGTACCTGAGATATTCTGGTAGCAGGGTTACCTAATTTTTCAAAAGAAAGTCTGGCTGAGTATACTCCAAAATAGAACGGAAAAGAAAAAAATGACCTCATCTCTAGCTCATTTCAACAACATAAAGCAGTCCAAACAGCACCGGGGCCTCTTAACAACCTCTTACTTCTTCTCCTTGTTTACCTTTCAGAAATATGTCAGTCAAGGTCCTTGTTCCTCTCTGCGTGTCCAAAGTTTAGACTACCCTGGTTTAAACGCAATAGTAGCAAAAACTGCTTTGTTCCATGTTCAATAACCCTTCTTAATATGCACATGTAACTTAGCATTTTAGAGATTGTTGTATGTTTTTATTGTGTTCTATATATTGTGTGTGCAGGTAACTTGTCTTGTGCCCCTGACTGCAAGTCAAGTCTCCCATTTGGGATAATAAAATGACTGACGTGAACTGAACTAAACCTGATCAATGTGGTTTGGCTAGGGCTGGACGATGTGGCGAAGTATCAAACCGTTATTTCTTTCGAGTTTAAAGGCAAAGTTGAAGAAACCTGATGGTTAATTGTGGTTTAAACTCTTCTTTATATTCAACACTTGAGGCCAAACAGCGGACCACTTCACAAATCTGAGGTAGAACATTCAAAACAATTATGATAAAATCTTTGTTTACAAATATACATGAGTAAATTTAAGTAAAAGCTTTTTTCAGTCCTTTTTCCTCAACAAAATAAACATTTTAATAAAAAATTAAGTCCTAATTTGTGTGTGATTCAAGTGAATACTATCAAACATTTATTGAATATTTATTGAACATTTGTCGCAAATTAGATTGCGATAATTATTGTTATTGTTTTATTGTTCAGTTCACTTAAACATCCACATCATACTTATAACTGGAAACCTCCAAATTAGGGCTTTGCGATATGACTAAAATCTCATATCCCAATATAGGTCATTTCATATTTTGATAATGATGTATATCAACGTATATAACATTTTTTGTAAATTTCTCTGTATCATAAACGTTGGGTAACACGATAACAAGTACCATGCTATAGAGTGAACAACAAAACAGTGAGTTGGCAAACTGTGGCTACTTGCTGCTGCAAAGCTAACATGGGAAGACAAGACGGTCCCAGAGCAACACAGCAGCTCCAGACAGCGATACTCACAGCTCTCCTGCTGCTATAGCTAACATCACAACAACACCATGTGTCGGTGAACCAGAAAGTAAGCTGAACACCGTGGGCGAGTCATTTAACATTTCCTGACACACATATCATGGCTGGATAGTGTTGTGTGGGTCGTCCATACAACAGACTTCTGTCTTTGGTATAAGCTCCTCGTTTTTGCTTGCATGGTCTGAGCCCTCCTGTTCAGAATTATGCAGTTATGAGTAAACTTCCCTCTCCCCCATGTTTGTTTATTCTGAATGCAAATTTCTTCATTGCAACACCGGCACACGTGGAAGAACGTACCGCTGTGAAGTTAGTTTTAAGTTGGCTACTCGACACATGTCTGTCATATCGCACAGCCTTACTCCAAATGATGACCATGCCACACCAGTATTTTTTAACTTTCACACAGCCAACTCAGCAACCATACATCTGTCACATCTGTCACTTCCTGTCTATTCCAGCTGGTCCCACCTTTCCAGCCCCAGGTCAGCTCAGAGACGGACACGCGCTACTTCGACGAGGAGTTCACAGCACAGACCATCACCATCACTCCGCCGGAAAAATGTAAGAATGTGTTGCTACCTCCACTGACACCAGATCAGATTCCTGAGGCATCAGGCCGGTGCTGATCTCCTATTAACAGCACATCTGTGTTAGTTTGCCTCTAATATGATGGAGCATTTTACTTTCCATCTGCCTCATCTTGACTTAAAGGGGAATTTATTCATCAGCTCTGTCTTCTGACTCTGGAGAAGCTTTGTTTATGTCTGAGGAAATTACCTTAGCGATTTTGTCATCTAGGCCCATTTATAAAAAGTTGATTTGACCTCGCTGCTTTCACTTATTAAAAAAAATCTGCTTCACAAGTCCCTCAACTTTACACACAAAATACTGTTTTAATGAGCTCTGGAGCCCTTAAAGATTAATGCTTACTTTCATCCAGAAACAGCATTTTTATCAAATATTTTAACATTTTCAAAAACCAAAGCGGCTTTTAAGGGTTTTACTAAATAAAATGTTCAAAATTCAGTTGACAAAGAAAAATAAAAATCTAATACAAAAGCTAGAAAGATTTATCTTTAAATTATGTGGAAAATGATATCAAAGACCAGCTCATAAATGTAGCCTCATTTCATTTCTTAGTAACACTTTTGAGTATTAAAAAACAGCAGGGATAGTTTAAAGTGGTCATATTCTGCTCATTTTCAAGTTCATAATCTTATTTAGTGGTTGTACCAGAACAGGTTTACATTTTGAAAAAACTGCATATTTTTGTCATGGGAGGGGAACTCCCTTTTGGGTTTGTACACTTTGCAAACCTCTTACATGCACAAAAAATATATTTAACTCAATAAAGGAGAGGGAAAAAGCAAAATATGACCTCTTTAATATTTTGATATTTTAGATGGTTTAAATGAGCAGAGTTTTCAAAAATGTGATCAAAATATGGTATAGTTCACCATATTTGGTAATATATGGTATATTATATGTTGTAAAATAGCAGGAGAGGAGAATTCCGTTGCATTGTTTAAGGTTCGGGGTTTGCTAGCATTTAATAAAGTTATATATTTAACTCAGTGATGAGCTTTCGTTGGCTGTTTAGTGGCAGCTTAATTCATGTTCACAACAAGGGCTGCAGCTAACAATTGTTTTCATTATCGACTAATCTGCCGACTATTTTCACAGTTAATCGTTTAGTCTCTAAAAAGTCAAGAAATTGTGAAATAAGCTCATCATAATTTTCCAGAGACCAAAGTGACGTCTTTAAATTGCTTCTTTTGTCCAATCAACAGTCCAAAACCCAAAGACTCTTCATTCACTTTCATAAATGACACAGAATGGCAGCAATTCCTCCCATTTCAGAAGATGAAACCAGCAATTCCTCCCATTTCACAAGATGAAACCATTTCACAAGATGAAACCAGCAATTCCTCCCATTTCAGAAGATGAAACCATTTCACAAGATGAAACCAGCAATTCCTCACATTTCAGAAGATGAAACCAGCAATTCCTCCCATTTCAGAAGATGAAACCAGCAATTCCTCCCATTTCACAAGATGAAACCATTTCACAAGATGAAACCAGCAATTCCTCCCATTTCAGAAGATGAAACCATTTCACAAGATGAAACCAGCAATTCCTCACATTTCAGAAGATGAAACCAGCAATTCCTCCCATTTCAGAAGATGAAACCAGCAATTCCTCACATTTCAGAAGATGAAACCATTTCAGAAGATGAAACCAGCAATTCCTCCCATTTCAGAAGATGAAACCATTTCACAAGATGAAACCAGCAATTCCTCACATTTCAGAAGATGAAACCAGCAATTCCTCCCATTTCAGAAGATGAAACCAGCAATTCCTCACATTTCAGAAGATGAAACCATTTCAGAAGATGAAACAAGCAATTCCTCACATTTCAGAAGATGAAACCATTTCACAAGATGAAACCAGCAATTCCTCACATTTCAGAAGATGAAACCATTTCACAAGATGAAACCAGCAATTCCTCCCATTTCACAAGATGAAACCATTTCACAAGATGAAACCAGCAATTCCTCCCATTTCAGAAGATGAAACAAGCAATTCCTCACATTTCAGAAGATGAAACCATTTCACAAGATGAAACAAGCAATTCCTCCCATTTCAGAAGATGAAACCATTTCAGAAGATGAAACCAGCAATTCCTCCCATTTCAGAAGATGAAACAAGCAATTCCTCACATTTCAGAAGATGAAACCATTTCACAAGATGAAACCAGCAATTCCTCCCATTTCAGAAGATGAAACCATTTCAGAAGATGAAACAAGCAATTCCTCACATTTCAGAAGATGAAACCATTTCAGAAGATGAAACAAGCAATTCCTCACATTTCAGAAGATGAAACAAGCAATTCCTCACATTTCAGAAGATGAAACCATTTCAGAAGATGAAACAAGCAATTCCTCACATTTCAGAAGATGAAACCAGCAATTCCTCACATTTCAGAAGATGAAACCATTTCAGAAGATGAAACAAGCAATTCCTCACATTTCAGAAGATGAAACCATTTCACAAGATGAAACAAGCAATTCCTCCCATTTCAGAAGATGAAACCATTTCAGAAGATGAAACCATTTCAGAAGATGAAACCAGCAATTCCTCCCATTTCAGAAGATGAAACCAGCAATTCCTCCCATTTCAGAAGATGAAACAAGCAATTCCTCACATTTCAGAAGATGAAACCATTTCAGAAGATGAAACCAGCAATTCCTCCCATTTCAGAAGATGAAACCATTTCAGAAGGTGAAACAAGCAATTCCTCACATTTCAGAAGATGAAACCATTTCACAAGATGAAACCAGCAATTCCTCCCATTTCAGAAGATGAAACCATTTCAGAAGATGAAACCAGCAATTCCTCACATTTCAGAAGATGAAACAAGCAATTCCTCACATTTCAGAAGATGAAACCATTTCACAAGATGAAACAAGCAATTCCTCCCATTTCAGAAGATGAAACCATTTCAGAAGATGAAACCAGCAATTCCTCCCATTTCAGAAGATGAAACAAGCAATTCCTCACATTTCAGAAGATGAAACCATTTCACAAGATGAAACCAGCAATTCCTCACATTTCAGAAGATGAAACCATTTCACAAGATGAAACCAGCAATTCCTCACATTTCAGAAGATGAAACAAGCAATTCCTCACATTTCACAAGATGAAACCATTTCACAAGATGAAACAAGCAATTCCTCCCATTTCAGAAGATGAAACCATTTCAGAAGATGAAACCAGCAATTCCTCCCATTTCAGAAGATGAAACAAGCAATTCCTCACATTTCAGAAGATGAAACCATTTCAGAAGATGAAACAAGCAATTCCTCACATTTCACAAGATGAAACAAGCAATTCCTCCCATTTCAGAAGATGAAACCATTTCAGAAGATGAAACCAGCAATTCCTCCCATTTCAGAAGATGAAACAAGCAATTCCTCACATTTCAGAAGATGAAACAAGCAATTCCTCACATTTCAGAAGATGAAACAAGCAATTCCTCACATTTCAGAAGATGAAACCATTTCACAAGATGAAACCAGCAATTCCTCCCATTTCAGAAGATGAAACCATTTCAGAAGATGAAACAAGCAATTCCTCACATTTCAGAAGATGAAACAAGCAATTCCTCACATTTCAGAAGATGAAACCATTTCAGAAGATGAAACAAGCAATTCCTCACATTTCAGAAGATGAAACCAGCAATTCCTCACATTTCAGAAGATGAAACAAGCAATTCCTCCCATTTCAGAAGATGAAACCATTTCAGAAGATGAAACCAGCAATTCCTCCCATTTCAGAAGATGAAACAAGCAATTCCTCACATTTCAGAAGATGAAACCATTTCAGAAGATGAAACAAGCAATTCCTCCCATTTCAGAAGATGAAACCATTTCAGAAGATGAAACCATTTCAGAAGATGAAACCAGCAATTCCTCACATTTCAGAAGATGAAACCATTTCAGAAGATGAAACAAGCAATTCCTCACATTTCAGAAGATGAACCCATTTCAGAAGATGAAACAAGCAATTCCTCACATTTCAGAAGATGAAACCAGCAATTCCTCACATTTCAGAAGATGAAACCAGCAATGTTTCATATTTTTACTCAAAAATTCATCGATTATCAGAATAGTTGTCCGTTAATTTTCTTTTGATCGAAAAGTACATACATACATCGATTAACTGACTAATTGCTGCAGCTCTATTCACAACTACTGTAGCTACAACCTGATAGTGCGATAAACAAACATTAAATGTAAGTCACATGTTCAAAGAACAGGCTACTTGCAGTCCTTTTACACCAAAGGTTTTGTCAGCTGGGAACTGAATCCAAAGTGAAACCTTCTGTCTGAACCGAATCAATGAGAGCCTAAATGTTCGATTCATTCATTAATTCTTGGTCCAGAGCCAAATATCTTGACAACTATTTCAAGGATTGCTGTGAAAGCTGTGTTTGACATGACATACGTATTTCCTATACTATCCTATCAACATATAATGGCTGTTGTGTCTCTGTTTCTGTCTCTACAGACGACGAGGACGGGATGGACGCGGCGGACAACGAGCGAAGGCCTCATTTCCCACAGTTCTCCTACTCAGCCAGCGGGCGGGAGTGAGCGCTCGGGGCCCAGCCAGCCAGTATCGTACCCATTCGTGGCCATTTTGAGGAAAACACGTAGCCATTTTAGGGAAAAAAAATACCAGTCTCCCCTCTTTTTCTCCTTCTCTGCCTCCTCACAGATGGGGAGAAGTCTTTTTAGGGACTTTAAAAGAGGTTTTTGCACAGTGGGATAGACTCCAGCCGGTCTCCCCACACTAAAAAATAAGTCTCCTACATTTTCAGCGCTATTTACTGCAGAAGGCAATGTTTTTGTTATTTATTTTTTTCTCTTTGTCAGTATTAAGTTGTCGACCCGGGTTGCGTTCATCTTTATTTTTTGTTTGATGTTCTGCCCTTTTTCTTTTTGACTTTTTGCACTTGGTTTGGAAGAGCCGTTTTAGGGAACAAAAAACCAAAAATGTTGCCTTACGTGTGCAGATGTTTCGTATCATACCGACAGGGTGATTTTTGTTTGTTTGTTTGTTTTGGGAGAGGGCGGGCGGTTTTCGGGGTTGAGAATAAGTGCATGGCTCGTGGATCACTCAAAAAAAAAAAAAAAAAAACACCTACAAAAATGTTTTCTCTCTCATACATTTGCCATGGCAGCGCACATTCCCCAATCCCATGGCAATGAAGATCACCGTCTACAGGTCAACAAAAAACAAGCAAAAGAAAGACGAGCGAGGACGAGTCTGTATCATTCCTTTCATTGTTGCAGTGTTACTACTTTGCTGTTGTATTTTTTCAACCCATGTTTTTTTCTCGCACTCTACTTCTAAGTTGTTCTTTTACTTTGAAACAGGAAACACTAAACTGCCAGAAACTGCACAGTTCACTCAGGCGCCACAGAGCACAACCGCGTTCAAACTCAGCTAACCGCTCCAGCTTTCCACAGCCGGCAGGGGAACGAGGCCTTTCTCTGCTTTCTCACCGCTCCTCCTCCTCCTCTTCACCTCCTCACCTCCGCTCTTCTGTTTCCTCATCGTAGCTGTAGGACTAGTGGAATGGGTGTTTACACAGGGACATGTGGCTTAATGTATGTATGTACTGTATGTATGCGGGACAAGGGGGTTAACCATATGCTGTCATAGCACACACACACACACACACACACACACATATATTCACACTCAGAAACAGGAAACAGCTGTGAGTTCTGCGTACTGATCAGACTGAAGTCGACAGTTTACTCCACACAAAATCAAATTAGTTGTTTTCTTAAACGAACAGAATATCAGAACGCCAAGTGTGTTTGTGAAACAGCAACAGTTGATGTCAGGTGAAGAACCGCACAGTAAATGTGTTTATCCACTCCATTTCACAAGTGTTTTTCTTAATTGTAAACTAAATCCACATCAGTCACTCAGCAGCTCGAGTTCTTCTAATTGCAAATAAATAAAAGGAGGAATGTTAACCCTCCATTTTCCTCCTACTAAAAAAACTCTCAGTATCAGTGATATTTCTGGAAAATAGGAGGTTAAGTGGAGCAGTAGCAGCTGAAACAACCTAATAAATCATGTCATAACTATGAGCATGTTAAAGGAGTAGTTTAAAACTAAACTAATCCACTAAACCAGAATGTAATTTTTCTTGTAGTTTCAGTTAAGTTTCGCCTCCTCTACGAGGCTTACTGCTAAAAACCTTTTGGTATCCTGGCAGCGTTTGTATTTATAACTAAATCAGAGGGGTTAGGGTTGGGACTGATGGTTGTGTTCGTGCAGTAAGATTACGCAGCGCTTAAGTGATATGAGTTTGGAATCATGGTGGGATTTCCTCAAAACAAGAATATTTTCTCATAACAGGAAATAAACACTAAATATGAGAGTAGAGGCCTCCACGGGTCCATTTAGAACCCCAGTGGGTCCAAAGGATTTAGTCTAATCAGGTCAGTTACAGTCCTGTTGCACAGCATTGCAGCATTTTGGATGACATATATAATATGTGCACTTGTGGATTTAGGTGGGTTTACCACAGGTCTGCTTTGGTTTCAGTTTAGTAGTGAGCCTGTAGACCAGACTACAATCCCTGGCAGCAACACATCCTGCTTGTATTTACAACTACAAGCACAATCTTAGTGAGTCCCGGCCTCTAGTGGTCTGAGAGGTGCACAACACTTGGACAACCCTGAAAAACCTTTGATTCATTCAGAGGTTGGTACCGAACACAATGAACTCACTGCGTGGATCAAAGTTTAATGTGACTTTTTCGGCCATTTCACCTGTGAAAACACATTTGTTTTGTTTCTGGAAAATACTGCCGACTTCAGCTGCTCTGCAGAAATCAGCTCACACTCTTCAGGGTTCCTGCACACATCTGGAAAGGTTCAGAGGAAGAATTTGGTGATTTCCAGGTCTTAAAAGCTATTTGCAATTGCTACAGATTTTGGAAAATTGTTTGTTTTCTGCTGCCCTGTCATCTCATACTCTTGAAGTTCATGTGTAAAAGTGATGAAATAGGTCAGAGACATGAAACATATCGAAGAGCAAGAGTCTTGTGATACTTTTGGACAACTTTGGACCTTTGGGCAACTGTGTGGGAACCCTGACAGCATACACAAGGCTTTCATTCATGTTCACACACAAATACAACAGATAAAAACAAAGACTGTTTTTAGACGATAAATCAGAGTGAAGATTTAATTTATCACACAGACACTAACAGAAACGAGGCTTCTAGCTCCAGATGCAGGGGTTCTGTTCCCCGTGTATCCTGTTGGTATTGTGGGGGGAAAAAAAAAACTTTATTTATACACACGTATATGTTTCTAGATCTGAACTGAGGGTATCAATAAATCACTAATCATGTCACAGTTCACGAGAAAAACTGAGCCATGAGACACTCATGTATGAAGACTGTGAGGACTGCCAGTAAAAAAGTCGCCCCCAAACTTGTTGATGTAAATATGCAATGCCTTTTTATTTTTATTTTTATTTTTATTTTTTTGGGATCTTTAGTGGCATCTTGACGGACGAGACATAAACTTTTTCCTTTACCCGTGTGACTGTACTTCAAGCTTGCTGATGAGAATAACAACAACAACCACGATTCAAAAACTGCATTTAAAAAGAAGAAATAATTTTAAAAAAGACAGCGTCAAAGACTGGACCCTTCCATTTATATATATATTTTTTTCTGTGTTGATACACGGACTCGACTAGTTATCGTCCACGGAGGGTGTTTCCATGAAGACAACCCCCCCTCCCCCCTGCCTTCCTTTTGTCGCCATGGACCCCAAAATGGATCGACTCCCAAATTTCTGAGGACATGACTGTAACTGTGGAGCCTGCACTGTCGTTTGTTTCCCTTCACCCTTTAAAAAAATAAAATAAAAAAAAATAAAAATAGGACAAAAATATAAAAAGTGGGACCGTGGCTGACATTTTTTACTTTTTTTCTTTTGCAGTGCTGGTTTCATCAGGTTGTTCCAATCCCATCATCCCTTGCTCCTCCTTTTTTTTGTACCATAGTATTTGTTTTATTTATGTTTGTCATTCTAGGCAGTGTTTCCTTGTATGTCGTTAAAAAAAGGCACCTCTTGAAAGTCGTTGAAGGATGATGATGATGGATGCATTAACTGAAGTCTCTTTTTATTCTTTTTTGGATCGTTTGCTTGTTTGTTTTCTTACCAAAACATTAGGGCAAGAACCCAGTAGTGGACTTGCATTGGCGTGGTAGTATTTATTTTGAATTAAATTAAAAGAAATACATTTCAGGGTTTCTGCTGTTGTGACTCTTTATTTCAGCTGTTTCTGGATCTTCTCTGCCTGTCTGAGGCAATGACCATCAGCGTGGAGAGAAAAAAAAAATGGCGTCTTGGTTTTTGTCAAGTCTTGATTTATTTAAAGAAAATCTGTCACGGCTGTGTTTCAGGCCAAATTCAAGGAAAACAAAAACAGACTGAAGTTCATTACTCCTCAACTCTGTATCCAACATAACAAAACTTGCTAATATACAACCTGCATGTACTTCACATTAGAGGTGACCTTTTCCAGCATACCACTGGAGCAAGTGTCATTATGAAACCTGAGATTTGACACCAAAAAGATCCTTTCTGATACAATAATTTTGAGCAATATTAACTTTTTTTCATAGAACAAAAGAAGCAAACGTTCTCAAATGTGTAAATGTTGTCTAATCAGCCTTTACAGGAACTTCGCCAAAATAAAAGTCTCAAAGTGGCAAAGTTTTAATTTTAAATCAGAATAGCATACCAAAGACTAAATGAAGATCAATAATCTGTCCACACATTCAGTGTCGACTCCCATTATTTGACAGTTTTCTGTACTCTGGTTTATATGGAAAAGTATTGGAAGTTCGAGACCCACATAGAATCTGATTTATTCAGATTAACACCTCTCAAAATATAAAGAGACTGTTGTTTCTAGTATTTGTCATCGTATTTGCTACAGATTTGAAATTTCTGATTGTGGTTTTATTTTCTGTCTTAATTTGTTTTCAGTTCATTTTGTTGTGAAAATAATTAGCAGACATTTGAAACTTGGTTGAGGTACATGATGTGAACATTGTCTACTTTGTCAGTTGCTTTGCGGTTGCATGGAAATACAGAGATTGAATTGATTTCCACCATGCAACAATAATGTTAATTTAGCATGCTAATGTTAGCATCGCTCGTGCATAACAGCATGCGAATATGGTAGTCCTCAGCTCTCTTCCCTATGCACCTGGAGGTGAAAATCAAAACATTATTTTTACATTTTGTCATGAAGTAGGCTGTTGAAATATGTTGTTTTGTTTTGCCAGCAGTGGAAGCACACAGCTTGGATAACAGTTAAAAATACATTGTTTGGATTTTCCTTCTACAGTTTGCCTCAGAAACGATATGCTACTGAATCATGGAGAACGGTGCTGAGACTGCAGATGGAGCTACATGAAACTCAAAAGTACAGCTGAGTCTAAACATGTAGAACTGAGCCTGACTAGCTGAAATGTCCTAAATGGCCACCATACACAGGATGAACCCTCTTGATTTACCTCTGGTGCCACCCTCAGAACAAAATAGACATTTTGGTGGTAACGAGCAAAGAACACAAGAGTTGTTTTTCCATTTTTCATCCATACGATCAAAATAAAAATCTAGCATGTGACTTGCCAGAAACTACACAACAGAATAAGATCACGAGAAAGTATTACTAAACATTTTCTGTGATACAACTGAAGACACGGTCACGTTTGATGCGTTTTGATCAGAATCCAGAACCAAAACATCAACAGACCAGGTGTCACAAAGCAGCCAGCAGGGCTATCTGACTGGAGTTCATGGTTTCCTCTTCAGCTCCAACCAGCGTCCACACCACGTCATGGTTTCAGTCTCAGACACTCTGATCCTGGTCGATGGTTTGGTGTAACGCTCCCACGTCCTCGGCTGCTGACGGAAGCAGTTCGCTCTCACCGAGATCGAACCTGTGGCCTCTCAGATACAGGACGAGGCCGGCGGCAGCGTTCACTCTGGTATGGACGGAGGCCAGTCCACGTCCACAGACTGAGAAGAAACACACAGACATGCAGATTATATTCAGCATCCAGGGATCTACAGCTGTTTGATGTTTAAAGATAGCAGGAACATAATCTGTTCTATGGAAGCCCATTTCTGCCACAGTCATGAAAGTCTTGCAAGTCATAACGCGAATAAACACAACTCGCGACTACTACAGAGGTATGAAACCAAAGTTAACATTTAATTGCAATAAAAGGATCAAACTGATGCCGAAATAACTACAGCATGTAGCTGATTTGTTAATCATTTGAATTATTGCTTTGTCAACAACTTTTAGAATGTTTGTTTTCTAAATGGAGTTCAGGTCAGTCAGGCCTGTGCTAGGCTAACTTTTTCACAGTGCAACAATAGCTGGAATCAAGTAACAGACACATTTTCTGAACTTAACCAGGTTGCTCATCTTCCGCACTTACTTTCCTCCAAGCAATGTCCAGTTTTTATATAATTATGAAGTCATTATTTAGAGAGAAAGTTTTCATTATAATGACCTTCAGGATTTTTTTTTGTTTCATCATCACAGTGGCAGAAATGGACTTCCATATATCCAGAGCAGCAGAAGTAGATAAAGATTTATTCAGATGAATACCTCTAAAATATGAGTTTTTAGTATTTGTCATTTAATTACTACATATTGAAAATTTCTGAATAGATTATAATCCCATATTGTTGGAATTATATGTATTGTTTGATTTTTTTTTCACCCCACCTCCACGTCCAGCTCCAGGATGTCGGTTTCTGTCTTCAGCAGCTCACACAGGTTGGGTTTGGTGCGACCAAAGTCTCCGTGGACAAACTCTTTGATGTAACTGTTGGTTGACGTTCAGGAGCACATCGTGAACAACGATGCAAAATCAGCAACAGGTTCCCGAAAGACATATTTTTAAAACTTTTAAATGCTGCTTTTACAGCAGTTTAAAAATGAAATAGACGTCTGGCAAAAGTTGGCTGTTTGTACCTAAATACAGCTGATGAACATACAGTTTATATGGGTGGAATAAGACGACTAGCTGTACTTACACTGCACATTAACAGTTAATATATTTATAAGATTTGACTTATAGTGTGATGCCTGATTTATTCTTTGCTTATTTGCACTGACTTGTTTATGTTTTATATACCGATTGTCCTAAATCACTGTGTGATGCAAATTTTTTATTTTATCTCGACTAGTTTACATTTTACATTGACTGTAAAGCACTTTGTTACCTGTATTGATAAGTTCTATACAAAATAATTATAACAGCTAATTCTAATGAAATCATTCTTAGAATGATTAAAGTTGTGCGGTGGGGAAAGAAATATTTGTAGACCTTGTACTAAAGTAAAAGTAACAATACCGCAGTATTGAAATACTTTGTTACAATTAAAATCATGCATTTCATTTTTTTCTTAAGCAAAACTTACCAAAACATAAAAGGTCCGTGCGTGAGGTATAATTCATCTGCAGTTGTTCTACTTGCGCTAATGTAAATGTATACTGAACAGTGCGAGTTCATTTTTCCAGAGCCGATGCTGCTTAAAAGATGTTATGTTGTTGTCGCATTGAATGAAGACGTGCGATGTAATTTAGTGCACCAAAGCGTCGGCTTGTTCCATTTTCCTACTTGTACAATGGGAAATGAACAAGAAAGTCTAAAACCCGGAAACAGAGACCGCTCGCCTTCAAAATAAAAATGTCTCACACTGTTCAATAAACATTTGCATTAGAGCAAGTAGGACAATGAAATTAAGAAATACCCCCTAAACTGGCTGTTTTCATCATACTTCACGCACGGACCAGAAAAGCACTCATTATGCAGAATGGCACTGATTTTTCAGTTTTAACTATTGGATTATAATTATTATATGCATTAATTGTAATCATAATGCATCAAAGGTGGACCCAATTTTTTTTTATTTTATAAACTTGATCTGCTGGGTAGCTCGTTTTTTATAACTTCAAAACATTTGGGATGATTATTTTTCTGTAATGTTCATCTCAATCTGCAAAGTGAATACAATACTAGAGTAAATGTACAGCTACTGTCCACCACTAAAGTTAAACTGTGTCTGAGATGACCTGAAAAAGCCTTTCCATTTTTTTCCCCCACTGTGGAGAAACAACAGATTTGAAGGGAGGATACGTCCCGGCCTGTGTCTTCAGCCCCAGGTAGAAGTGATGAGAGTCCAGGAAGCGGGTGTTCATGTTGTGGATGACGCGCTGACGAACGGCCAGCGCCCGCCGGTGCAAAACCCTCAGAGGAGTCTTCTGGTCCAGAGTCAGATCCTGCAGGATGAAGCCCACCGTTTACTTTATATTCTGATCTTCATCCAGTCAGTGAGTTTATTCCAGGTGGTCTCTCAGCACCCTCACTGGAGATACTGATTCTCCATTTGTAGCTTTTAAATGATCATATTACTAATATATATTCAAGTCAGCCTAAAGGCTCTTTTAATCTCTCGGCTTTACATAAATAAAATGACGTGTGTGTGTGTGTGTGTGTGTGTGTGTGTGTGTGTGTGTGTGTGTGTGTGTGTGTGTGTGTGTGTGGTGTGTGTGTGTGTGTGTGTGTGTGTTGTAGTGACCTTGATGTCGTCGAGGAAGGTGAGGTCTTCGCTCTGGATGGGTTTCTGGGTCCAGATCAGCGCCGTGTACGACTTGGTTTTCTCCTCCTCTCCCTCCTTCATCCGACTCATGGCCTCTCTACAGTTTGGCACATAACACACTTTGTTTTCTCAACTGTCTTTTATATCATTTATTTTATTACAGATACTACTTAAAAAACGCAGGGGCAGTTTAGTTAGTGTGTTGTACGGTTCATATTTTCTCACCTGGTAACGATCTGCAGGTCTCTCACTTTGATTTTGTCGGAAGAGTTGTTAATGGTCTAAAATCAAAAAAAAAAAACAAGGTTAGTGGTCGTAAAGAACATATGAGGACATAAAACCGGTATCTGCGTAGCTCTGTTAGTGTTATGAGAGCTTTCAACAAAGAGAGCGATTAAGAGTCAACATCAGCTTTATAAAA